ATTGAACCCGAAAGAAAGAAAGAGAAGAAAAGAAGGGGTAGAAGAGGGATTGGGAGGGTGAGGGTGAGGATGAGGGTAATAAAGTAATTTTATATATTTTTAATTAAAAAATATATATATTAATCTATGTGGCACTTTTATTTATTTATATAATATAATTATAATATATATTAGTGCCACGTCATCAAAAAAGTTAAAAACAATGCCACATAAAATTATTTAACTGCCACCTCATACTTAACTGACGGAGGGACCAAAACTGTGCAATTTTTAGAGTTAAGGGATCAAAAAAATACAAAAAATTGTTAAGGGACCAAAAATGTTCATTTTGTAAAGTTAAGGGACTAAATTTAGCATTTAACCAAGAAAAAACGGGCTTGGGTTATAAATGACGAGGTATATATAGTGGTTTAGTAGTAAATTTATTAAGATATAAGGGTATAATAGGTATAACATGTCAATTTCATTAATTGGTAGCTGGAAGCTCCCGCAAAAGCTTCAAATTCCTTACTTCTCAATTTTCAAAAGGTGGAAGCTAACTTTTGCTTCCCGGGAGCTGAAGCTCATTTCAAAAGTTAGGGTGTTTGGTGCAGCTGCACCTTTTGGACTTCGAAAGCTCTTCCAACCAGCTGCACCAAACACCCACTAAATCAAACTTGGGAAGAAGAAGAAAAATTAAATCTTACTTTGTTTTTTCAACAAGAATGTGCTGGGCGTAGGCAAAGGTTTGGGGAAGTTTCGGGTGGGGGCTGGGGAAGACAACGTAGAAATGGGCTAGGAAAAAAAGAAAATAGCCTCAGCCCCTTTTAAATAACAAATTTCACTTTTAACCCCCTTAGGTTTGTGAATTTTAGCTATTAGACCCAAAAATAATAATTTCTATCACAAAAACTCTTAATTTAAATTTTAAGATCTTAGAAAATTTTGGAATATTACAGCTTGTTCTTCATTCACAAGACTCGAACTCGAGATTTTACTTCAGAAAAACCAAACTATTTTCAATCGGATCAACAAGTCGTTGGCCAAATATATCCTTAATAAATTCTCTTAAAATATATATAAAATTCCTAATAAATCCTCAATAGAATTTTTAGAAAAAGCTTATTAGGGAGCTTAAGCCTTTTTGAAGTCTAATTATATTCACTTCTTACTAAATTTCTACAAAAAAAAATTATTAGTTATTATATATTATTATATATTTGTAACTCCAATAATGTAATAATTCAACTCCATTATACAACTTTAATTATATCTCAATTGTATTGATAAAAAAAAAAGAATAATAGATTTAAAAAGGATATGTTTATAAACATAAAACAAATTAAAATAAAGTAGAATAATTAAGATCAATATAAAATTAAAGTTGTAAGGAATAACAAATAACGATCAATATAATAAAAAAATAAATTATCAATATAGAGTAGAAAAAAGAATAAATGCAAAGTATAGTGATATATATAAATATAAATTATGAGAGTGAAAATTTGAAAAATGAAATCACAAGAAAAACTAATGAGGGGTGAAGTAAATGTAGTTGAAAAAATCTAGAGAATAATATTTTGATTTAAAACATCTCTAATATTAAAGGTAGAGAAAGAAAAAATAAGGTAAAAGAGAGATATCTAATACTTAATTGAGGTGCAAAAAATAGAAATAATTACAAAAAAAATAATAAAGATGATAGAATAATGAGAGAAAAACAATAATAAATACAATACAAACATCTAAAGAAGATTTTATGAAGAATGATGAAGGAGAATGATGAGTCATAAATCCTTATCAAACCTGGGTTATCATTTTAGGTTTGTAAATACTTCCTTTTTCTTTATTTTTTCTGGGATTGTAGAATATGGAGAAGGGGAGGAGAAAAGTGAGGGAATTTAGGAAATTTGGTGGTGGTGGTGATTATTGGGGAGATCTCCTTGTTCTTTTATGGCAATGATAGATGATGGATATAGCAAGGAACTCAAAGAATACTAATGAATATTTAATTAAGTGAGAGTTATAGATAAAAAAAATTGAGATCATATATATCATATATATATTTATTAAATATGCCACCATTAATACCCAAAATGCCTTAAGATCCAAAGACTAATGAGATTATAAAGAAGACTAAAATTTTAATCATCCATAGTTAATTTTTATGTAAATTGAATGAGAATTCAATCTCTTAGATTTAATTTCAAATTTTGATATTATCAAGATCGCATACATCCAACTATAATTATCCTTTGATCTTATTATTTATTGAATCTATTATCAACTTAACATTTTGTTGGGTTGTGCTAGTGATGTAAGTTGATGAGTCAATAGCAGTGATGATGTAGAGGCTGACTAGGATGCCATCCACGAATGATAAGGAGGGTCATTTTTGGCGGCACTCGTTTCACATGCAAGAGGCTACGTGCCATGGGCCGTCTCGTTCTGCCCAACAATGTTAGTCAGCAACAAATTCTCCAACAAAGTTTGAAGGAGTAAGTTTTCCAGCCAAGCTGAGAGGAAAAGCTGCCAGCAACAATAATGCTCCAAGATGTCAAACGATGTTGGTCAGCAACAAATCCCCTAGCGAAGTCCGAGAGTAGAGTTTTTCCAACGAAGTCCGGGAGTAGAATTTCCCCAACGAAGATTAGGAGTGGAATTTCTCCAACGAAGACCAGGAATGAAGTTTCTCCAATGAAGCCCGAAAATAGAGCTTCTCCAACGAAGATCGAAAATAGAATGTCCCTAGCCAAGCCAGAAAGAGTGGAGTGATGATGGTGCTCCCAAGATAACAAGAATGATTACAGCATTACCAAAAGTAATAAAAATGAAATGTATAATGCTGTAGGAGTAGCAAGGATAGAAAATATGTAAGGGCAAAAAATTACAACTTGAGAAGTACATTTTTACATAGTATATTGTGGCACAATAACAAAGACAATGAATGTGCCATCTATTATCCTGGATAAATTCTCATACTCTATAATAAGCAATCCTCATGTTGTAGATAAAAGGCACAATGGTCTCTTTTTAGCTTTAACAAGACAAAAGGAATAAACTTGAAAGAGGTGATGAGAGAAGGAAGAATGATCGTTGTGGGGGCTTGATCTCTTTTTTTATTGTGGGGGCTTGATCTCTTTTTTTATACTAACTCTTCAGCTTGATCCTCCAATGCTCAAGAAAATAACCTTGAAATTGAAGCTACAACATGCTGTCTCCCAACCATGATATTATGCAAGTTTGGAAAATATTTTGTAGTGCTGGAAATTATTCTGCAGTGCTGGAGATGTAGAAAGTTAGAGAAAAATGGTGATTTCTTTGTCATTTTTGTGAGTAGGGTGAGTAGGGTGAGTAGGGTGAGTAGGTGAGGATGAAATATTTTTCAGAGGAAGAAGGGCAGTCAAGTGCATGAGAGGGAAACTGAAGTTGTGAAAAAATCTTGTTTGTTCTGTTGAAAAATGAAGGGAAAATAATAATCTATATATGCAATGGCTTTTTTGTAATTTTTGGGTTGATGGGTCAAAGGTGTACAGATGGGTTTGGCTGAGTTGTCAAACTTTTAGTGGCTTTGGGTACTATTGGCAACCTTCTAGCAATGTTATTATGAATTATACTGTAATATCCCAAAATTTTGGGGATATTTTAGCATTAAATAAGGGACTTATTTGAGAGAAAATATTGTTGAGGGGTTTAATAGCAAAACTTTCAAAAGTTGAGGGACTAAAAAGAAAGGAAATTAGGATAAGGATGAATTGCTTTTTCTTTTCCTTTTTTCTTTCTTTTTCTTCTTTCTTTCCTTCCTCATCAGACCCGCGTGCCCTACTCTTCTTCTCCCCCGACCCTGTGCACTCGACGAGCCCACCCCGTCACCGCCACCCATTTCCGGCCGGAAATCCGGCAAACTTGGGGGTTTTCTCCTTCTTTTCTTGTTCTTGAACCTAGAAATATCCCCCTCCCTTCTGCAGATTTTCAGATCTGCTCTGCTCTGCTCTGTCCTTCTGCGAGCAGCTTTTGCCAGTGGAGTGCTTCCCAGTTTTCTGGTAAGGGAATGACTAAGAATCATCCCTTTAGCCTTAATTCAAGTTGGGTTACTCTAATTGTGTTGTGGGTTCTTGAATTTTGAGGTTTGCCGTGAGTTCCTCCATTCCTCTCCCCGTCGGCTTCCTTCCCAGCCGGATCCGGTGCTGCTCGCCGAAGTTTCCTGGTATGATGGACAGCCTTTTTATGTCTAATTATCAATTAAGTATTGTCCATTTAGTTGCTTGTGTTGTCCGAGATTGTGCTAGAATT